GTCATTAAATTTCATGCTGCTACTTGTAACTCAAAATAGCTTAAACTATTTCTTTATCTTTGCATCTTTTCAGTGTCTTTAAAGAGTTCGCAAACCTTTTTTTATGTTCCCAAGTACAAAGAGGAGCAGAGCATGAAACATGAATTTAGTGAAAACATATTTCTGGAGAGCTTTTGGGCAAACGAGCTTCGTTTAAGCAGGAGCTGTGATGTGCATTGCGTAGCTCAGCCCAAGAAAAAGTGGTTGTTGAGAGTACTTTGTGTTTTCTTGGCTGGCATTAGGTCTGTCTTAGTAGGACACCCAAGACTTCATAAATCAAGTATATTTAATGAGAAATGCTGTGTGTGCATGCATGTTGTGTCTAAAAATAGTGTTCTTTGAACAGGATTCAATTTTGACTTTGCCTGCTATGCTTTTAACATGAAGCAGAACCCCATGTGGAAAAACTAATGTCATTTTATTGGCCAGCTGAAATTCCCCCTGCTTGGCACTGCTTCTTTTCAACTCCTCACGACCAAGTACTTCTAGTTAGTCAGCAGCAGGATATGTAAATTCATCCTGGGCATTAGGAAATAAAGAACAGATGCTGTAGAAAATGTTTTTTTAATAGTGCATTTTTTCCTTTAAAGCTGCTTTTTTTCTTTTAAGTTGAACTCTGCTTTGTTTTTCCAACTTAACTAATTATTTCCACTTACCTCTCTTTCATTCTAAGCTTAAAAGAAAAAAATGTGGAGTTTATTTTTTAAACCTGGTATTACCTGTCTTTGCTCCAATGGAATCCTTTTGTATTTCTAACAGAAGAATAGCAGAAGAATTTGGCACTGAATAAGATAGTGAAATCATGATCTAGTAACACTTCTGTCAACTAAATGCAGTGAAGTCTCTTCTGCTAAAGTTATGTAGACACTTCATTCTGAGCAGCTCAGACCAGTGATAAGTTTAAGGAAAGTGTGCACGTGTTTTCTTGTCTCTCTGCTGTGCTTGCTTAAAATTGGTCACCGTGAATCATGCTAACAGTACAAGTGAGGTCAAAGTTTGAATTTACATATGTACATCTTTGTAGAGTGTATGAAGTGTATAATAAGTGCCAAACTGTTGTCTCTAGAAACTGAAATTCTTTTTCCACAGAACAGGAGCTACAAAAGTTAAAGCTCGTGCAAACTTTCTTATGCTGGGTAAGTGCTGAGATCTGCTGGCGTTTCTGACCGTCTGTTAACCATCGCACAAAGCTAAGCTCTCAGTGTGGACAGCTGCCCTTGAGGAAGTCTACTGGGTGCCACCCCCTTGTTGTGCTGAAGTCATCACAATAGTCAGTAGATGGTGACTTACTAAATATGCCTGAGATGAATTCTAGACTTACTCTGAATAATTGCAGTCTTGAGGATTAGGGATGAATTCAGAAGTGAAACATGTCTAACAAGGTCTAAATTTTCTGTTAACCAAACGTTCAGTTCTAAGCTGTTTTTCCTAAATCTGTCACCAGATATAATTTTTTTACTCCTCCGGTCTCATACATTCAGCATAGGCAGACAGAGTGTTATCTATGTAGGCAACCAATACAAATAAATGGATTCTCCTTGTCCTCTCCCTTCAGTTTGTTCTGTTGATTGTTTGTGAGGACCAATTTCTCCACCTAAATTTTGGGTTTACTTACGGGGACAAAGCTGTTCTGAATGACAGAAGCAAACTGTAACGTGGGATCTGGAGATGAAGAAAGGAGGAGCACAATATTCTATAGCGAGCAGTTGTGGTGGCATCAGGAACTTGAATTCCAGTCTCTGATGGGTTTGTTCTGCAGATTGCTCACTTGTTTTCAGCAGCAGCAGTGCTAATAGTGGACATGTGCAAGGATGTCCATAGTGCTATAGGCATTAGGGATCAAGTTCCCAGCAGGGTATGCAGACCAAAAAAGAACCTAGCACTTCTGAAGGGATTGTCTCAGGTCTGGCTAAAATGGCACTGTCGTGTGATAAGCAGTGCTGTGGCTATTGTGAGGTGGTTATGTGAAAGCAAGGCCTTGTGCCAGTTTCAAATTAGCGAATAATGGAATTAGCCAGTCAAGCTTACTAATAGTGTGTGTACTATGTACTGTGCTGCTCTGCTTTCACTAAAGTTCACTACTTTGGCTGTGTTTGCCTGAGGCTTTCTGCCTTTGTCTGCCTTTCAGCTTGCACTGTGTTCACAGGAAGGTTTTGTATCACAGCTTTTTATCAGTATTCAAATTCATCATAAATCACCCACTTTGTGTTTAATTATCACTGTGTTTGAGATGTGGCTTACAGGCCGTGGATGATGTTTGTTTCTGTATAACTCACAAGTACCTTAAATTGAGGACGGCTCCCTGTCTAGCAATGCCAGCGCAGCAGATCCTCAGTGAGTGGGACTTTGCCTGGACTTCAGCTTGTGTGGTGGTTGGGGTCCTGCAGCACACAGCCTTAGCTGCGAAACGTTGAAATTCACAAATGCATTTTGGCAGCTTTAGGAAGGGGAAATGAGTGCTGGATAAACTCCTCGAACCAAGCTGTGCCAAAAAAAAAATAAATTAAAAAAAGCCTTTTCTGTTTTTCTGAAGGGTGTAAATTCTTACAATAGGTGAAACGTTTTGCATGGTAAGACTGTTGCATACATTATGAAAAACAGGGTTAAACAAGGATGGCACCTTCATGCATGCTGTTGTTTTATAAGGTAGCTGAACTTGTAGTTTGTTAAGGAAATGGTGCTTGTCTCTTTGGGTGCTTTTTGGTGATGTATCCAAATAGATTGGTTATATGATAGAGGTAGAGTATACCTCAGGGAAATGAGAAATTTGCATGTAAGAAAACTTGCAGCAGCATCAGATTCTGTTTGGATTGCATTTTTGTTAATCAAAATATCAATAGAAGTTTGGGGTTTTCTGATGAAATTTCAAGAGTGTGTTTGCATGCACTTACTAAATAAACTCACGGAGAGCTGTTAAGTGTGGAGATCCCATCTCTGGCTCCGAATTCCTAATCTTTAAACAGCTGGATTCCCACAGCATTCCGGGCAAGCACACCCTGGGTATTTATTGTGTTCTTCTATTTATCCTTTTTGCCATCTGCTGCTGGTTACTGTTTAATACTAAGCAAGATGGACTTCTGGTTTGAGCTGTCCCTGTGTTCAGAGTATCCCTCCCTTTATGCTTAGATGTGTTTTTCCTATGTGGAGGAATACGAAGGCTGAATTAGCCACTCATATTTTCATCATCTGTCTCTCTTCAACTGTGGCTGTGTAAGTAGATCCCTAATGACTGAAATATCAGGTAACAGAGAAAGGTAACTGCCTGATTTCCTGCAGTTGAACAGCTGGCTTTGCAAATCCCATCAACAGAATCTGGAGAAGATCATCTTTGGTACATCTTCAATGAAAGTCATTACTTAAATATCATGGGCATTATGCTTTAAATCCTGTTAGTGTTCCCAGTTCTTCACATGTCTGTTTGGCACTATCCTACATAAATAAGAGATTTATCTTGGTTAGTTACGTTTTGTCCCAACATCTTCTCTCCTTGTCCGTGGCAGATTTGACTAAGCTTGCCTAGAATTACTCCAAAATACTGGGTAGAACAGACCTACCTTCTGTTTCCTAATTTTACAATGAATGTATCTCCATAATGAAAATCTGAATTTCTTACCAATTTTATAATGTAAAAATTTGGTGGAGAGCCTCCATTAATTCCAATGCTGTGTTCTTTTATTTTTGTGATTGTAACATGTCTGAGAAAAAGCCTGCTTTCCTTCCCATGTCACCAAAAAAGAAGGGGTTCTATTTTAATTCTTCAGTGTTTGGCATTCATTCAAGACAGAATGCTATTTCTGGTTAAATGCTTTTGTTAGCTCTAATGAAGTTAGACTACTGTTAACGTAAAATGATGATACCAGCCATGTGCTAAAGGCCATAGACATGGCTGTAATTGCATTGGGCAACAGCAGCTGCTGGCTGTAGGCCAAGCAAAAGCAGTAAGAATGATCAAGTTGTTATACGAAACGTGTGAAGAACTCGGTAGTTATTTAACAAGTTTCTTAATGATAGGCTCTCCTTACGTAACAAAAAGCTTACTTAGCAGATCACTGTTTTTGTTGGAAGTGAGCGTGTTTATATTCATATGTTGTATCTAAAATCCTAAGAAAACAAGAAATGATGGGTACCATACTTGCCTTAACCTTTTCCAATTGAACCGGTTCTTAACCAAACTCATGCAAGTAGTTCTTAGGTGTTCCTGTTGGTGGTATTGCTTACTGTCTGTTCATGCTTTGCTTTTCAACGCCTCCTGGAACACAGAGAAGGTTTTTCCTGTTACTGAGTTCTGTCAATTAGATGTACGTTCATCTGTAGAATGGTACCTCAGCCTGAGATTAATGTAGCTGTTTGCAAGCTTCCATGTTACTAATCATTACCTCTGCTTTGCAGAACACCTCCAAGTCCTGTAGGTTTGCGAGCATAGAACTCCTGGATGTTTTTACCTTTCTGTTAACCTTTGCTAGTAAGCATGAATATTTTTTTGGTAGAATATTCGGTTTGATCTTTTTTTTTTTTACTGAAGAATTAAATTCCACAGTTCGGTTACTGTATTACGTGTTTGATTTCTGCAGGCTATAAAATTTCCCTCTGCATTGTACAGTTCAACCTTTTTCAAAAGGCATTTAGTAAATTGCAGGTAGAACAGCTATTGTTCAACCTTTTCCATAACTTTCTGGTGGTTCATTAGTAAGTAGCAGAATCCTCTCAGGAAGGAATGGCCCTCAGAGCTCCACCTGACTGGCCAGCTGAGAAATCTGAAGCAAATGTCTAAGGAAAAGCTTGGGGATGTTGGTCAGTGTGTTATGCTGACAGCCGGATTATGAAACTGGTCATCATTTCATCAGTTGTTGGGTTTTGATGTTTGTTTTTCTTTTTTAATGATATTTTTCAATTGAGTCATTGGATCTTTGAACTTTATTTAAAAAAAAAAAAAGTGTGAAATTCTGTTTTGTCTTCAACAGTGCCCTTAAAGACAGTCGTTTCCCCCCAATGACGAGGGATGAGCTGCCACGGCTTTTCTGCTCAGTGTCTCTACTCACTAACTTTGAAGATGTATGTGACTACATGGACTGGGAGGTAAGGATTGTGCATGTCCTGTAAGAAAATGTCTTTGATAACCGTGAGCGTCTGTAGCAGAGCTCTTACTGTTTAAATCATCTGCATATAACACTTAGTTGCTGTTTGGCACTCTGTGCAGATTGTTTGGTGTAACGATTCAAGATGCCATTTTGGTAGAACTGCCATTGCCTTGAAAGCCAGAGCCGAGAAAATGGAATACAGTTGATTCCATTTGTCTTCCTTGGCTTTCAGAGCAAGTGGCCTGCAGGACAGCGCAAAGCCCTGATACAGTGAGGCCATGTAACTGACAGCTCTTTGTCTTCCTGTTTTCCTTACCTAGAGCAGAATCTGTTTTACTTGACCTGTTCTAGGAAGCCTTTTGAGCAGCAGCATAAAAGCCACAGATGAGGAAGTTTTTAGAGTTATTTCTGGGAAGGTGTACTGGACGAAGTGCTATTCTGTGTTCTTATGTTCTTTCACAGATTATTGGTTTTAGATGCTTGCACAAAAGTAAATTACTGGAGTTAAGATCAACTTCTCATCTCAGCCAGGATGATTGTTTTAGTCTGTATTTGAACAGATGGAAATTGTTTTGAAGTTGTTGTCTATGCTACTGGATGTGTTACAGTGCCAGAGACACCCCACAAATTAAGAGTACTTTCATGTAACAGTGACTTCCCTACAACAGCAGCTTAGCCCTCCTAGATATTTAGGAATTCTTAATAGCAAAAGAGGTTTCCTGTTGGGCCCACACATAACAAATGTGAATTGAATAGAAATGTCGTTTGTTGTTACAGTGGTAGGAGGCACCACAGAATGGTGGTCTTACGACTTAAGTCATAACATTCAGATTTGTTTGAAATAATGGAGGATTTTACTTTCAGTGCCCTCTTTGTGCCTTGTGCAGAATCCTCGATTCCTCGTCAATACTGTAAACAAGTTTAATGCAGAAAAGTAATTCTGTGCAGTTGTGATTTGCTTTCCAGAATCTCATGATTCTTCTCACTGGAGAGTTCTGGCTTATGGAGGAAGAATGAAAGGGTCAAAAATACAATAGTTTTTGTATTATTCATTTGCTAACTTGTTCTCTCATATTTAAGGGTTTTTAAACCTTCAGTAAATTCCTGGGAATTCTCCCACACAAGCCCTCAGCTCCCACCCGAGGAATATTTGGGGCAATTTTAGAGGAATTTTGATCAGTGTTCTGGTTTAGAGCTTGTGCAACTGAATATACAGACACTTAAAAGTCAGCTAAATGCATAGGTAGTTAATGTGATGTTGCTGTTGTAAGGCTAACTTCATTTTTCCAAGTCAATTTGATTAATTACCTATAGCAGCATTCGTTTCCGTGTCACATAACTACTTTACCAGTGAGGTTTATTTGGCAAACTTGGTGATTTGTGCTTCATCAGTAGGTCCCATTTAAGCTCAACAAGTTGTCTGTTTTCCTGTGTACAGTAATAAAAACAGTTTGTGTTGATGGGACGTGTTTTGAGAAGACACCACAGAACTGGTGGACTTATGGATGAATTTTTCTTTTATATTTTCATTTGTCCAGGAATGGGAGTAAGATCAACAAAGAGTTCTTTTCTGGTAGCTTGCAAATCAAACTGTCAGCATTCTCCTAGCATGGGGCCTAAAAATGACTTGATGACTTTGCTGAGGATTGCCCATAGAAGCAGATTGGAAACTGGCATAAGCTTAATAGCTGACAGTGGCCCCATGGAAAGGCTTCGTGAAATTCCCTCCACGGTCTGCTTGTTAGTGCTTGCCTTTTAAATATGGCTGAACTGCTCTTGGCTGTAAGTCTGACACGACTGAGCACCCATCTTCATCTGATGGCAGTAATCACACGTAGTATAGATGAGTTGAGATTTCAGAAAGCTGAGCTGTGGAGGGTTGACACGATGCTTCTCGAAGGTTGCAGGCAGGTTGTATTTTACAGCAATCTGAAATGGTGTTCTTTTAATTTGATACCGGCCTTTTTCTGTTCTAAAAAAAAGCCTTTCAAAATTGATAATTGATATGGGCAGAGATGTGCAAAGGAGTGTTATTAGAATGAGATCTTTGGGACTGAAGTGCTGAACTTCATTTGCAGTGTTCTTGCAGCTGCAGAAACATACTCTGTTCTCATCTTAGCAATAAACTAAGATTTTAGTCTCTAACACCACTTCTTCTTACTTTCAGGCTCCTTAAGTTCATAATTACATCATCTGAGTATACAGATTTGAACTTTGTAGTGGTTATATATCTATTTTATGAATGTTAAGTAATAAAATACATTAAAATTGGCAGCAAATTCAATATGTTAGCCTCTAATTAATTTTTCCTTTGTAAGGAGCGGTAGTTTCATGCAGAAAGCTTATGAAGGCCATGGCCAAGATTTCTCCCATTTCTCTGTACTTATGCCACATATAAAAGTCACGGACCTTAAAAAACAAAGTCTTAAAATAACCAAATATGTTAATTGAACAAGTGGTCATTAAGGGCTCTGTAGATGTCCCTCAGTTGTTTTTTCACTGCCATGTGGTTATGTTAAAAGCAGTTGTCACTGGAAAAATGGCCGGAGTGTTTCGTATTAAATTTTGAGTTGAAAAACAAATGCCATGAAAAATACAGTGCGTGTGATGGCCTTTTAAATGTGAGCTCTTCGTTTCCTCATGTAGAGTGGGGGACTTTGGATTTAAATAGAAATAACATCTCCGTATTTTATGCATGAAAACAAAAATATCAGTTATTAATGTTTTGAAATCCAAAGCAGCTTGTTGTCGTTGTACCTTGAAACTGGCAGATCTTCAATAATGCCCTGGAAAGGTATCTGGCCTCTTTCTTTTTTGGTAACTCCTCCATCAAATACTCCCACTGCCTTCAGATGAGTAGTTTTGGTTTCTGTAATGGCAGTCTGCCATATTGCTCTAGTAGCATGGAAAGGGAAGCTGGAAGTTGAATGCTGTCCTCATACATGAGCAGGAGTTTTGAGGGTTTCAGGATCCAATTGGCAGTGACTGGTGGCACAGCAATTTTGTCAGCAGCTGCTTTTGCACCTCAGCTGGTTGTTGGTTTTTTTTTTTTGCAGAAAGATGGCATTTGTTTTGAACATCTTCTGCAACTGTTTGCAAAATGGCATCAACCATCGAAAGGTTCACATGTCAACCTTTATCATGTTAGAAATCTCTTGTATCTCTTTTTTTAATGTACTAATAAAACTGCCAATTTCTTGCAGGTGGGTGTACATGGCATTAGAATAGAATTCATCAATGAAAAAGGATCAAAACGCACCGCCACCTACTTACCGGAGGTTGCAAAGGAGCAAGGTCATTGTTGAGCTTTATTTCATATGATCTGGTGAAGAATTTAAACATACCTGTAAATCTAAAATGCAGTATTTGACCTTGCACTGATGTCAGATGATGGAGCAATATTTAATTGTAAGAAAAGACTCTTCTATAAAATGCCAATTACGTGTCTGTCTCAACCCCCTTGTAGGGACTCAGTAAACTGTAGCTGTTCTGATGCAAATCCTAACCATAGTGAAGGTGTAAGAAAATAAATCGTGGAGGGGTGGTTCAGTGCTGCTACCTCACTTCAAAAAGCTGTTAATTTTCATGTAATTGTTACCCTGTGATGTTAGACATGCAAAAGCTCTGTTAAGTTAATATGCAGGCTGTCTGGACAATGATTTTAACAGCTAATTGATTCCCAGTTTTTCAGTGGTGCTTCTTTTCATTAGGTATTTGCTTCTACTGTTTAATTCCTGCTATGAACAGTGACTTCTGGATTTTGGGGTGTTGGGAAAGGATTATTTTCATACTGGAAGTCCAAAATAAGGTTACTAATTTCAATAGGACAGACTTCAGTTTGTGAATCAAGAAACTTACATATACAGTAGCTTTTGTTGAACAGCTGTTTGTTGAGCCAAACTGAAGATTTTCTTTTTGAGGCTTAGAAGTGTGTCTTAGCCTTTTGAATTTTGCATTGCCACTTCTTCATTTTCCTTCTGGTGCACTAAGTAATAGCAGTGAGACCTTCGTTAACAGATAATAGAAATTTGGTCTCCCAATGGTCACTTGAAAGCTCAGATGCCTTCCAAGGCAGTTCTTTCCATTTTGCTATCTCAGGTTGGCCAGTTACCAAAGGGCTCTTTTGGTGAGACCTTTGGTGATCACTTATGCATGGGTTTTTTCAGTATTTTTTTAAATTCAGGAATTGGGGGAAGGGCTAAATTTCTTACTTGTGGTAAACTATGCATTACAGTCTGACTCTTAAAATTTACCAAAATTGTTTTTTTCTTTTTTTTTTTCTGTTTTAAAAATGCAGTGTGACAAACTTAATTGCATCTTTGGGAAGTAAGATGTCTATTTTAGAAATAGTGGGCTTTTTAAAATCGACGTGTAGGAGTTTTGAGTAGCATGACTTTATTGAGAACAGTAGTGAATCTGAATATTTGTTGTCACTTTTTTAAACAAACCAGCCTGCTACATATCACAGATGTTCTGAAATTTAAAATATCACTGTTAACTTTGCAGTGATATTTATGGAGAGCCCTAATGCCTGAAGTTCTCTCCACCCATTCAGTTAATAAATCTTTTGAATTTTCTTTCATACAGAAACGAAGCTTTCCATGCTGCCAGAGCCACTTAGGATGTATGATCAGATGTGATTAATGATCTGAACGACTCAGAAAATTGCAATTTTGTTTGTCATTGTCAGTCACCTGGATATGTGGGTGCAGTATTTCAACCACAAGATAAAAATGCATTGTTGGTAGAGCAAGTTTTATGCCTGATGAAATGCTGCTCAGCATCTTTCCCACAGCTATCTTCTGCATAGGAGAATGCCCCGTGTTTCATAGGTAACTTCAGGAGAGCAGCTGTGTTACCAGTGTCACTACGTATCGTGCTGTGTTTTTGCAACACCTGTTCCTACTGCAGTAATGCTCATGAATTTTTACCGCTGTGAAATTCAACAGGATGGGACCACATTCAAACCATAGATTCCTTATTGAGGAAAGGAGGCTACAAAGCTCCGATTACTAATGAATTCAGGAAAACCATAAAGCTAACCAGGTATGCATCCCGGGGATACTGCAGATAAGCCCTGTTGGTTTGGTTTTAGTGTGATGAGTTCATTTCCTGGTAAGTGGTTGTTTCAGATGTTAACAGTAAGCTTTCCTGTATGTATTATTAATATTTTCTTTCTTTTCACAACAGGAATACAGACTTCTGAGAATATCTGTGCCTTGCATTAAATACAGTAGAGATTACAGGCACTAAGCAAGGAAGAAAGGGCTGCTAAGTAGCTTGCTACATATATACCAGGGAGTATATATATTTTGTTTCATAACTGAGAAATCCTTGCAGCGTATCAGCTCTGCAGTTTTACAGTTTGCTCATTGGCTGCAGCGGATCTCAAGGGGCTGTTATTAAGGGGGATTACTTGCCATTGTCACGTTGTGTTTGAGCAGTTGGTGCTGCTGCTCTGGAGGCCATGCAGTGCCCTGAGCCGTTCAGCTCTCCGAGCGGGCGCTGGGGCTTTTCCCTCCTGCAGAGTAGGGGCTTCATCTCCTAACAGGTGCTGGGCATGCAAACTGGGGAGCTGATCTGACAGGTGGTGCGCCGGCTTGACTGCATCAGGTAGTCTAGGAAGGAAGACATAAGTGCAGTGCTTTACTTCACACTCAGACACTGTTGTATGTTGTGTGCCCGCTGTAATGCTTGTTTAATACAATGTGCTCGTGAGGGCTCATTAGCAGGTCAGAGCCAAAAGGTTACAGAATGGGTTGCAAATGTTCCACCTATAAAATTGTAGTTGTATGGTGAAAGAGCAGGTGTCAATAGGAAGCCCTGTAAAACAACATTATTTTATAACCATGCAGTACAAAGTGACTGCTGAGCTCTTGCTGTTTATTCCCTGCTTTGAGAACTAAGGATTTTATGAATCCAGTGTCATAAGGAGGCACTGACTGATAACCCATGAGGTTTCTTCTCCTTTCTTCAGGGATAACAAGCACTATTATTAATACAGCTCGTAAATTTGGTACTTAGAGACCTTTATCCAACACCATTATTCTTCCTATCTTTTGTTGACTTGCAGGGACTCACAGAGAAACAAGATTCATTTTTAATATGTTGGTTGGGTATGTTAGCATCACTTCTGTGTACTTATTTCTCTGGGAATTCTTTCCTCCTTAGTGCAGCTGGATTGGGTGTGAGCTAGACTCCACTCCCTATTTCCATAATTAAAACCCAATGCTTTCATTTCAGACACAAAAATACTGGGCTTCTCATGATTGTTAATGTACTCTTAGAAGACAAAGAGCTGAGTGTTTTTTTTCAGTTCCCACTTTTGTCACCTACATCTAAAATGCTTGCCATTACTTAGCAGTGTTTGTTTAGACTTGGCAGAAGACAGAGCATTTCTCAGAAAACTGTTTTCACTTTAGAAGAATCTCTCCCTCACTCAGTGTTGTTTTGGGTAAGGAAAAAGACTTTGTTCCACTGACTGAAATTCTGCTTTCTAGTAGGAACCTGATTCCAGGGAAATTGCTAAATAGCAATTTAGCAATTGAGGAAAACATGCTATTCTGAGGGTTATGACTGGGAGGAAGGTTTTATGGAATCCAGCTTAAATTTTCAAATGCAGCACCCCAATTTTCTTGCTATCTTATTTTCAAGAACATATAGAATATATGGTGATAACTTAGGGCATGAGTAGCTGTTGGAGTTCTTAAGTGAGACTTTCTGTACACCTCAGTGAATAAGGGATGTATTTTTCCAAGACACAAAACTTCTGTATAGCACGCACATTCTTCCAGCTCCATGATTTTGTTTGAAGCAATGGCATACCAGTGCAGAACAAAACAAGTGTTCTGCTTAGTATATTTAGTTCAACATCCCAACCACAAAATCACAAGCCTAATGAGTAGAATAGACAAAGCGTGTTGTTTAATATTATGATTTTTTCCATCTGTGATTCTACACAGGCTGCCCTTGGCCTGTTTTGACTCACTTAGAGCCACTGGTTGCCAAGCTTATAGTTTAGTTCCATAGTGGTGAGGGGATTAGTGCACAGATCAGCTTACTCATCAGGTGCAGGGAGCGCAGTGCTCCACTCCTATCGCTGAGAGAGGAGCTGCAGCTCAGCTGCGACCAGCAGCCGTTTAAGTCAGTACATCATTAACCAGCGCCGCCGTCGCAAGTAATTGCGGGCACTGCGGTGCACTGAAGCAAGAAGCTGTAAGCATAAGGTGTTCTGCTCTGTTCTTCTGGCAGAGGCAGCAGAAACAATTGTGTTTGCCACCTCAGTTGCTGCAGTTGGTAACTCAACAGCAGTTTGAATGTCTGTGTTGGGCTGTGAGTACAAGCTGTTGAGGCGTGCGTTGTGCTTTTTCAGACCTAAGAGGGAAAAGAACAAACAGAGCAACTCCAGAAGAGAAATGTCATAAACAAGGGAGGTGGCAATACTTTAAATCACTGTAGCTGGATTCACCAACTCTCATCTGTAAGATCTCTTATGCAGGGGCTTATGAAGTGACATTTGTGGCAATATGGAATAGTGTTATTTTTGTGTAGATTTCACAGTTTTACAGGTAAGTGTAAATGTGGCAATATGTTCCTTGTTGTCAAACAATATCAGTGCAAATTTATCTGAAGTACATTTTTCGGGGTAGGGGCTGTTCTACTTTAAGCTATATATAGTTTAAAAGGGAAATCACTTCATATAGCTGGATTTATTTTAAAAGCAGAATGTGCTAGACATTACTTTTTAAAAACAGCTCTGGAATCAGTACTGCTTGTTTACAGGGCTTTTCTCCTAGGTTATTTGTAGAGAGTTGGCTGATAATTTGGGATGCTCAGTAAATCATCACAAGTTCAAATACCTTGAGTAAAGTAGTAGGCAGTGATTTTTTAATAGTTTTTTTTAATTTAAAATATTTTTCTTAAGCACTTATGTTGTGACTTGTGTGATTCAAGAACAGCCCCCAAAAACATAGTAGTTCTCTCCATGCCCTTGTGCAACAAAGTTTGTCTTATTCCTGAGACCAGAAGTACAGAGCTGTTCTCATCATTAGACGTACACCTAGCACCATATTTTCAGTGCTGCTCATAGCTGCCCAATGAAAGTTCTTGAGTTTGCTCCTTTGCTCTTTTCTAGGTACCGTAGTGAGAAGATGACCATGAGCTACACAGAGTACCTTGCCCATCGTCAGCATCATCACTTCCCAAATGGCATTGGGCACCCCCTTCCACCATACAACCATTATTCCTGACACTGAGCCGCATGACCAGTCACTGGACCTCTCTGCAGACCTCTTCCCAGGAGACCCTGCCCCTTCTTGGTCTAGCTATCTCTATTACTGTACCATTTTATGATGATAGTTTCCGTTGCCATTTTGAGGCTTCTCCATAGTTGGTTAAGCTCATTGTGGCAACGGGAGGGAAAACTGCATTATTACAAAGATCCCATACTTTTTTATTGAATCACTGCAGATTTTTTTGCAGCATATATAGCCCTTGGGTTTTTTATGAAATGTTAAATTTCTACTTCATTAACATTGAATTATATCAGTCAAGACTTTCTGTGACTGTGGATGGAAGGAAGAGTTTAAGGATTACAGTTGGGGATTCTTTGCTCAGATAAAAAAAAAGGCATTCATGGCTTTTTCATTAATAGCTCTGTCAGGGAATGAAACATATCAGATTCAGGTATTATATTAGACAATGAATTGCATTTTCTTAACCTTCTTAATAGTAGTCTGTGGTACAATATTTCATAGGCTTTCTTCTTCCCTTTGAGTTTTCCCATGAGCTCCTTTGCTCATCCGTTCAGGTCTCCTGCCATGGCTGAGCAAGGAGCTCATTGAAGAAAAAGACAAAGGGAAGAAGAAACTCTGTGAAATGTGGAAAAAGGACCTGGCCACTTGGGAGGAATATAGGAATGCTGTCAGGACCTGCAGGGATGCAGCGAGGAAGGGTAAGGCCCACTTGGAATTAAATCTGGTGAGGGAGGTCAAGGACAGCAAGAAAGGTTGTGTTTTGTTTTTGTTTTTTTTTCAATATGTCAGTAGCAAAAGAAAATGTGGGCCTGCTACTTAATAAGGTGGTTGCCCTGGTAACAGGGGATGTTGAGAAGGTGGCGATGCTGAACACCTTCTTTGCTTCGGTCTTCACTGATTAGACTGTCCCTATGGAACCTCAGACCAAGGAGGTAAGAGAGTCTGGAGAAAAGACTTTCCCTTGGTCAGGAGGATCTGGTCAGAGATCATGTAGGCAAACTTGACTCATACACATCCACTGATCCCAATGGGATGCACCCCCAAGTGCTGAGGAAGCTGGCAGAAGTGATTGCCAAACCACTCTATTGTCTTGGAGAATGGGAAAGGTGCCTGAAGACTGGAGGATAGCCAGTGTCACTCCAGCCTTCAAAAAGGACAAGGAGGAGCTGGAAAACCACAGGTCAGTTGGCATCACCTCTGTCCCTGGAAAGGAGATGGAACAGCTTGTTACATCATCACCAAGCAAGTGGAAGAGAAGGTGATTATCAGGAGCAGTCAGTGTGAATTCATCAAGAGGGAAATCATGCTTGACCACCTTGGTAGCCTTCTGTGATGTCATCACCAGCTGGGTAGATGAGGGGAGAGCAGTGGATATTGTATACCTTGACTTCAGCAAGGCTTTAGACAAGACTTGCAGCCATTCAGCAGGACATATACAGGTTGGTGAGTTGGGCAGAGAAGAGCCTGATCAGCTTCAGCAAGAGCAATGTAGGGTCCTGCATCTGGGAAGGAATGACTGCACCCATCAGTTGAGGTTTAGGGGCCTGCCTGCTGGAAAGGTGTTCTGCAGAGAAGGAGCTGGGTGCTGGCCATGAGCCAGCAGTGTGCCCTTGTGGCTGAGAAGGCCAACTTTATCTTGGAGTGCATTAAAAAGAGCATGGCCAGCAGATCGAGGGAGGTGATCCCCCCTCTACTCTGCCCTGGTGAGGCCACATCTGGAGCGGTGTGTCCAGTTCTGGGCTCCCAGTTCAAGAAGAACAGATAACTTCTAGAGAGAGTCCAGAGAAGGGCCACAGAGATGAAGAGGGGCCTGGAGCATCTCCTGTACAAGGAAAGGCTGAGAGACCTGGGACTGTTCAGTCTGCAGAAGAGAAGGCTGAGAAGGGATCTCAGCACTGTTTATCAATATCTAAAGCGTAGGAGTCAAATGGATGAGGCCAGCCAGCTCTTTTCCAGTGGTGTGCAACAACAGGAGGCAGTGGGCAAAAAAACTGGAACACAGGAAGTTTCATAACATGAGGAAGAACTTCTTTACTGTGGGAATAATGGATCATTGGAACAGACTGCCCAGAAAGGTGGTGGAGTCTCAATTTCTGGAGATATTCAAGACCCACCTGGATGCCTTCCTGTGTGATCTGCTTTAGGGAATCTGCTTCAGCAGGAGATTGGACTCAGTGATGTCCAGAGGCTCCTTCCAGTCCCTAGAGTTCTGTGTTTCTGTAACAGTATCTCACCCCTGCAGTAAAGATTTCATGTAGCTATAGATGTAGGTCGCTCTGAAAGTAATGCTTCCTATTTATTTACATGGAAACTACAACAAAGAGCACAGTAACACTACTTGATAGAGAAAATTCTCAGCTGCAAAACACTAGTTTTCAACATAGTTATCACCATTAGCAGAGACTGCCCCTCTGCTGCCATCTGTCACACAGCAACAAAATGTAATGGAATATTAGGGGAAGGTTCAACCTCTGCTGCCATCCTACCAACATCTGTCTAATTTAATGGGCCAACACCATAAAACAGGAGGCATTACTTTCAGAGTAGCCCTTGTATGTGACCTTCAGCTCGAGCACACAGCCACAATTTGAGGCTCGTATACAAAATGCTTTTCTGGATATGGAGAAGCAACTAAACGTAATAAGAGGTGAACAGTGTGCTCAGAATCACGTGGTCTAATTGAAAGTACATGACATAATCCAGTAGGATACCTTTATCTCCTGTTCTGCACTGGAAGTCGAGGGCAGCCCAGCCCTGTCAAGCCTACTCATCATAATGCATTTCTAATGAGACAATGCCTTTCTGATGAGCTCAAATTAGAAGTCGCATTTGTTTTTAGAAACAGATTGGTGAGTAGCAGATGTCATATTAGGAAGAAAACGGATTTAGATTTTAGTGCCTTTGACTATGACATGATTATACTTGCATATAAAATTCATAGAAAAAATATAGCAAGTGTGCCAGACATTCCAGTAATCCACGTTGAGTTCTTTGCTGCTCTGGCGTCAGGTTTTGGGGGATTTTCTAAAGTGAGATATTTTTCATTTTCTTTTTCTTTTTCTTATTTTAGAAAAGAAAAATCCCTATCTTCTTCTTGCTTGTGCTTTTGAATTTGCTGGGTTTTATCAGGTCATGGATAGTTGGGTAACTTGTTTAAAAAAAAAAAAAAAATTGTGTTGTGAAAGAGCACAGGACAATTATGCCATAATCTGTACATCTTTTCATCTATTACAGGAATAGTACTTGAGAGCTGTGAGTACTTCATAATAAATCTCATAATTCTCCACAAGGTAGGAGAAAGAAAACTGATGAGGACTTGTAACAACTGTAAAAATAGGATTTATTAAGTGGTGTATGTGGTATGGCTGCAAGCCGAGTATATGCCAGGAGCTACCTCCTTGCTCACGTGCCTGCAGAACTCCCACTAATAGCCACTGCAGTTCAGTGCACGTTTTAGGGGACTCCACATCCCATCTACTATGGAAAAGACCTTCCTAGCATGGGCGAGCCAACTATGGTAAGCAGAAATTCCAGTTATTTTGAATAATGAATGTTTTAAAAAACACATATATCACTCAAATAGATAAATAGAGTTAAGTTGATAAAAGGAACAACAACAACAGAAGACTAAAAACGTTCCAGAAAACAGATAGGGATAAGTTATCCCTTATGTGAGGATAGAATGCCACTTCATTTGTACAGAGGTTCTTGTAGAAGGTCTTTTGTATTCCTTCATCCACAGCACCCTATGTCCAAATATTTCCATTTTCAGTTGTGATGCCTTAATTTATAAGCAGAGGGCCTGAAAAGTCAGGAGCCAAGAGGTGCCAGGCAGACACTGCAGAAACTAATAGATGTTTATACAGAGGCTATTTTGGATGATACTGTTGTCTTGTTTCTACTTGGGGGAGCGGTTTCAAATGGATTTGTCTTCAAGTGGAAACTGTGAACCGGTGGCTACCTGAGAGGTGTTTTGGTTTTGTTTTTTTCCTTGCCCTTATAGGGAAACTGAGCACAAACCGAATCATTCTGCTGCAAAAAACAAACAAAACACAAAGTCATGCAACCCCATCCTTATCTGTCATCTCGTTACACGCGCTCACAGCGCTGCGTGAGCTCATCCTTAGAAGTTTTTTAAAAAGATCTATTATATATAAAAATATATATGTATTGAAAGGTGCTAATCAACCTCAAGCAGGTCACGTGACTGGTCATGCGGATCTAAAATCATATCAGATTTTTTAAAAATCTTCGATATATGCAGATGTTATACAGAATTTCTTACCAGTGTAATAATAATATACTGATGAATAAACAATCCTGCGGGTTTTTAAGGACAAGGTCAGCAATACTCCCCACCATGGCCTGGGGGGGAAAAGGATAGTTTTGTCTCCTTTTTGTATACAGCATAATGCACAATGCATTTTTGTCTATCTCTTAGTAGCTGTTGCTTACAAATATGGTTAAAAGGGTGTTATACAAACTGTAAAGGTGTGCTTTTGACATGACTTAATGCCAGACCCTTCTGGACCAGAGTTTTGTATCACTAATTAAAAAGCTGTTACAAAGTCTGCGGTCAATCAGGTTGTATGGTATTTTTTTAGAAAAGATTGGAATAATCAGTTTATCTACAGTGTTTCTAAGGCACCTACCTCCTCAGCACGCAAGTGCTGAGAATACTGCGGATTGTTTCTGTGTAATTGTGGGGTTGTTTATACAAGATGTGCAGTTCACTGTGACATGCACTGGGACAGAATAGGTCTGTTTGCCTAAAGCGAATCGACAATTGCTTTCACAAATGCCATTCTCTGAGCTATTACCCTTTCAGATATGTTGCTGGATTTAGATCTATTAATATTATTTTTTAATTTGGGGGCACTTCATAAGAGGTGATGGTACAACCGAGTAGCTAATTCCGCTCTTCAAGTCGGATGCTGATTTTTGATAAGCACTAATCCATTTGCCTTATTCCTTGAAGTATTTTTTTTAATTATTCTTTTGCTAAACGTTTCTGAAGTCCTCCTTCTGAAAACTAAGTGAGACAGCAGAACCCCAGGCTGATGTGATGCTGTTGCTTAGCCGTGCCTCAAGTGGCCTTCCTTCCGCCTGGAGCGCTGCAGCACTGACCTGGCACCATCTCAGCCCCAACGCTGGTCACAGCAGGGGGAGGGCGCCTGAGAGTTCTGACCTCAGATACAATACTAAGAGAGTCAAATCCATTTGCACACCCTGGCGTTTGTATACGGACCTCTTTACTTGTCTTCAAATGTGCGGGTTTTTAAAACTGTCGTCTGGAGTAGGTTACATCTCTTGTGTGTGTTAGATCGAACCAAAGAAGCCTCCAGCCATGCCCACATGCTGCTCCTAAAGCCTGCCTTCCAGTCCTTGCAAAAGCCCCGCAGGATTAAATGTGTTAATTTTTTTATTTTTGTACAGTTTCTAACTGATTTTTGCTAGTGATGTTAATTGAATTAAGTTTATTTGGGGAGTCTGAGTACCTCCTCCATTTAAATAAACTGGTGACTTTCCTTTTATGTTAAAAAAAAAAAAAAAGGGAAAAAAAAAAAAAAAAAGGAAACCCAAAGTGTG